AATGGGCGTGTCCGTGGCGTCGATGATTCGCCATGAAACAGGAAGTTGTAGTAACTTGGCTGTAAATGCCCAGATCTGCACAAAATTTTACACATTTGACAAGAGTCCCGCCCTGAACAAATCTACATGACGACATTCACCCACAGTCATAGTGCCACTTGCTGGCAACAGGAAGTGACTTTTAACGTAGCAGCCCCCACCGCACGTTTGACCGACATGTACGAAATTTCTGTGGTACATCTACCATGTCCAGACGCACAAAAAAGTCTCTTGGAGCGATGCCCTAAACTCAACAGGAAGTCGCCATTTCTAATTTTACCGACATTTTTGGATGATTTACTCATTACGTACTTTAACTAACTCCTCCTAGGGACTTAGTCGGATCGACTTCAAATTTCTGCTGTGCTTCTAAAGGCATTGATGATGTAAAGTTGTGCTATCTGCGTGTTTTGTTGATGGGTGTGTCCGTGGCGTCGATGATTCGCCATGAAACAGGAAGTTGTAGTAATTTGGCTGTAAATGCCCAGATCTGCACCAAATTTTACACATTTGACAAGAGTCCCGCCCTGAACAAATCTACATGCTGACATTCACCCTAAGTCATAGTGCCACCTGCTGGCAACAGGAAGTGACCTTTAATGAAGCAGCGAACCAAATTCACAGCCGCAACGGCTAAACCGCAGAATATGCAACGCGGCCGCCTCACACCCCAACGCGCTACAGGTGCGAGGGCCCGCCCATCGCTGCTTGCAGCTTTAATTAGGGCCCGAGCACTAACAGTGCGAGGACCCTATTGAAACTGTTAGGATTATTTTTTTTTATTTTTTTATTTTTTTTTTCTGCAAAGTAAGTGCCATTTTCGGGGCCGCAACATGCTCAAAAACTCACCAAATTTGGCACGCATGTCAGGACTGGTGAAAAATTTCGTATTTTGTGGGTTTCGCGGATGGGCGGGGCAAAATGGCACGCTAGCGCCACCTAGAAAATTGGAAAAAATTAGCCCCTCGTCCACGTTCAACCTACATGCACGAAATTTGGTGGGGACGTGTATCATATCAAGACGCACAAAAAAGCCTCAAGAACCCATACCCTAAACTCGACAGGAGGTCCGCCATTTTGAATTTGGCGGCCATTTTTGGACGATTTACAGACTCCGAACTTTAACGAACTCCTCCTAGGGATTTAGTCGGATCGACTTAAAATTTCTGCTGTGCCTTCTAAAGGCATTGACGATGTAAAGTTGTGCTATCTGCGCGTTTTCGTCGATGGGCGTGTCCGTGGCGTCGAAGATTCGCCATGAAACAGGAAGTTGTAGTAACTTGGCTGTAAATGCCCAGATCTGCACGAAATTTTACACATTTGACAAGAGTCCCGCCCTGAACAAATCTACATGCCGACATTCACCCACAGTCATAGCGCCACCTGCTGGCAACAGGAAGTGACCTTTAACGAAGCAGCCCCCGCCGCTTGTTTGACCGACATGTACGAAATTTCTGTGGTACATCTACCATGACCAGACGCACAAAAAAGCCTCAAGAACCCATACCCTAAACTCGACAGGAAGTCCGCCATTTTGAATTTGGCGACCGATTTGGGACGATTTACACACTCCGTACTTTAACGAACTCCTCCTAGGGATTTAGTCGGATCAACTTCAAATTTTCTGCTGTACCTTCTAAAGGCATTGACGATGTAAGTTGTGCTATCTGCGCGTTTTCGTCGATGGGCGTGTCCGTGGCGTCGATGATTCGCCATGAAACAGGAAGTTGTAGTAACTTGGCTGTAAATGCCCAGATCTACACGAAATTTTACACATTTGACAAGAGTCCCGCCCTGAACAAATCTACATGCCGACATTCACCCACATTCATAGCGCCACCTAGTGGCAAGAGGAAGTGACTTTTAACGAAGCAGCCCCCGTCGCATGTTTGACCGACATGTACCAAATTTCTGTGGTACATCTACCATGTCCAGACGCACAGAAAAGTCTCTTGGAGCGATGCCCTAAACTCAACAGGAAGTCAGCCATTTCTAATTTTACCGCCATTTTGGATGATTTACTCATTACGTACTTTAACTAACTCCTCCTAGGGATTTAGTCAGATCGACATCACATTTCTGCTGTGCCTTCTAAAGGCATTGACGATGTAAAGTTGTGCTATCTGTGCGTTTTCGTCCATGGGCGTGTCCGTGGCGTCGATGATTCGCCATGAAACAGGAAGTTGTTGTAACTTGGCTGTAAATGCCCAGATCTGCACGAAATTTTACATATTTGACAAGAGTCCCGTCCTGAACAAATCTACATGCCGACATTCACCCACAGTCATAGCGCCACCTAGTGGCAACAGGAAGTGACCTTTAACGAAGCAGCCCCCGCCGCATGTTTGACCGACATGTACGAAATTTTTGTGGTACAACTAACATATCCAGACGCACAGAAAATCTCTTGGAGCGATGCCCTAAACTCAACAGGAAATCGGCCATTTCTAATTTTACCGCCATTTTTGGATGATTTACTCAGTACGTACTTTAACTAACTCCTCCTAGGGCTTTAGTCGGATCGACTTCAAATTTCTGCTGTGCCTTCTAAAGGCATTGACGATGAAAAGTTGTGCTATCTGCGCGTTTTCGTCGATGGGCGTGTCCGTGGCGTCGATGATTCGCCATGAAACAGGAAGTTGTAGTAACTTGGCTGTAAATGCCCAGATCTGCACGAAATTTAACACATTTGACAAGAGTCCCGCCCTGAACAAATCTACATGCCGACATTCACCCACAGTCATAGCGCCACCTGCTGGCAACAGGAAGTGGCCTTTAACGAAGCAGTGTGGCAAATGCACAGCCGCACTGGCTGAGCTGCAGAAAATGAAACGCGGCCGCCTCAGACCCCGACGTGCTACAGGTGCGAGGGCCCGCCCATCGCTGCTTGCAGCTTTAATTTTATTTATTTTTATTTTTTTCTGCAAAGTAAGTGCCATTTTCGGGGCCGCAACATGCTCAAAAACTCACCAAATTTGGCACGCATGTCAGGACTGGTAAAAAATTTCGTATTTTGTGGGTTTTGCGGATGGGCGGGGCAAAATGGCACGCTAGCGCCACCTAGAAAATTGGAAAAAATTAGCCCCTCGTCCACGTTCAACCTACATGCACGAAATTTGGTGGGGACATGTATCATATCAAGACGCACAAAAAAGCCTCAAGAACCCATACCCTAAACTCGACAGGAGGTCCGCCATTTTGAATTTGGCGGCCATTTTTGGACGTTTTACAGACTCCATACTTTAACGAACTCCTCCTAGGGATTTAGTCGGATCGACTTAAAATTTCTGCTGTGCCTTCTAAAGGCATTGACGATGTAAAGTTGTGCTATCTGCTCGTTTTCGTCGATGGGCGTGTCCGTGGCGTCGAAGATTCGCCATGAAACAGGAAGTTGTAGTAACTTGGCTGTAAATGCCTAGATCTGCACGAAATTTTACACATTTGACAAGAGTCCCGCCCTGAACAAATCTACATGCCGACATTCACCCACAGTCATAGCGCCACCTGCTGGCAACAGGAAGTGACCTTTAACGAAGCAGCCCCCGCCGCTTGTTTGACCGACATGTACGAAATTTCTGTGGTACATCTACCATGACCAGACGCACAAAAAAGCCTCAAGAACCCATACCCTAAACTCGACAGGAAGTCCGCCATTTTGAATTTGGCCACCCATTTGGGACGATTTACACACTCCGTACTTTAATGAACTCCTCCTAGGGATTTAGTCGGATCAACTTAACATTTCTGCTGTACCTTCTAAAGGCATTGACGATGTAAAGTTGTGCTATCTGCGCGTTTTCGTCGATGGGCGTGTCCGTGGCGTCGATGATTCGCAATGAAACAGGAAGTTGTAGTAACTTGGCTGTAAATGCCCAGATCTACACGAAATTTACACATTTGTGACCCTGCCTGTGAAAACCCAGCTAAAGTCATTTTTTTGTGATTCACTGTTTTCTACATACAATCATCCTACATAATGTAAAGAACATTCTGTGAAAATATAACCTTGATATCTTTAATATTGACTGAGTAAGGCTGTGTCAAAGATTTGCTAAATTCCGGGCTCAGAAAATCATGTTTTGGAGAAATTCCATTTTTAAAAAAAGTTTATTTTTAAAACTGCAACACATTTGATCCATAATTATCCTCCATATGTGCCATATACCACATTAAAGCTGAGATTCTCCCTTTTTTAGTGATATATGACACATTTTGGGGAAAATTCTTAAAGTTTTATAAAACAGGCCTATTTATTATGATGTGCATGTCCAAAAAGCTAAAAACATTGAAACGAATGGGGCTTGATTGTAGCAACAATTATCATGTCAATTCAGTGGAATGATTTGTATAACTTTATTAGTAAAATGAAATATCAGTGCAAATATAATATCAATAATATATCAATATCAAATAATTAACATGTAACATTTCGGCAGAAAATCTCATTCTCTTACTGGGCCACGGTGTAACATTGAGTAAATCTGGAGTAAACATTTATTTTTTTATTTTTTTTAAATTAAAAAAATAAGTCAAGGGATAGTTCACCCAAAAATTTTAATTCTGCCATTATTTACTCAGCCTCATGTTGTTCCAAACCAGTTTGAGTTTCTTTCTTCTGTTTAACACAAAATAAGATATTTTAAACCAGACAGTTGGCGGCACACATTGACTTAGTAGGAGGCGAAAAAACACTATGTAAATAAATGTGTGCCGTCAACTGTCTGGTTACCAGCATTCTTTAAAATATCTTATTTGTGTTCAGCAGAAGAAAGAAACTCATACAGGTTTGGAACAACATGAGGGTGAGTAAATTATGACAGAATTCAAATTTTTGGGTGAACTATCCCTTAACAGGTCAGTCTCAAATTTCGTACACATTCTAAAATTGTCTAGATGCAAAATATTTAATAATCTCATAGATTCTATTCACAAAAGTCTGTGATCCTTTTTTGATTTAGTGGTTTCTTCCCCAGAGTGCAAGTGACTTTGTATTTGTACTAAAACTACCATGTCTAGTACAGTATTGTCCATCTCCAAATGACTCATCCTGAGTGACAGCAACTCTCCCTCCTTGAAAAATGAAGAACACTTTTCAGCATTGAAATACTTGCAGTTGCAAGAGAAACTTATTTTCAGTTTTACATCTGGAATTCCAACATTAGAAGCAAATTCTTCTTGTTGGTGTTCCCTCTTCAGATTCGCCAGTCTATAATAGGTTGAGGTTCAATCACCAAAACTGGCTCGTCCTCATCATCATGTTGGTCACTGCCTGAAAAAACAAGGATATTTTTTTCAATTCAAAGCAAGAGACCTAAATGGAGAACTAAACATGGGGGGCGGGGGGATTTATTCATTTTAAATCCACATTTAAAATGAATAATGAAGCATTTTATATGAAAATATTAGACTGGATCTGATTAATTGAGGGGAGGGCATAGAGACAAGAAACAGGTATGGCTACATGGCCCTGGCTTCAATTCAGGGTGTAATCAAACAAATAAACATCATGTCATAAAAGTAATTAATTTAAACTGACTCAATTCCAACCAACAAATGTAATAAACATTTAAATCCACTATGTTTGCATCATAGTTTGAATTCTGTGTTAGCATTACATTGGCACTGACAGTATATTATTCAGCATTAAAAAAATTATAATGACAAAAACTTACCGTCAAATTCCTCTTCAGTTTCGTCAAAGAATGTGTCCTGTTTATCATCACCATTATCCTCCAGAAAATAATCCGCTATAAAACCGCTTAAATCATAATTTGGGCAATTCCACCGAGATTAATATTTAAGCAATCAGACATTTTACGTTCTTGCACATGCTTCGGTGCTGCCATGTCAGATGTCAAAACGACGCAGTTAACAGTTAATCCAGCTAACGAATTATATTATTGACACTTATAAGACACAAATATAATATAATATAATAATATTATTGGCACAATACAGAGCTACAAAACACATAAGCTGTTCTTAAATTAAATGTTTGGCGATGACACGGAAACACCTCCTGAGATCTGAACCGGCCGGCTGAATGAAGTCGCTTTTTTCCCATTGTGTTGACCTGATTGCCACTCGTGCGGATTGATTTTAAGGTCTGTTTACTCTTTCTAATAGAAAATAAGTCAAAAAGAAGTTCCTGAACTGAATGATAGGAATCAGCAAGTGTTGTTGCGCTGAAAAATAAACCCGGATACGATTGAAATCAATGTTAAAGCCCGCGTCCGGTTTTTTTTTTTTTGCTGCGCAAAAGTATAACGTAGTGTCAATAAAATCATTAATTTTAGTATTTATCATGTTATAAATTAAAATTTGAGAATTGAATCTCAAAACCCTTGCAATAATCTATCATTTACAGCAATAAACACACATTACCTATTTTTGTCATTTTTATGGCTATGACTACTTTGACGCTCTTTTATTCATAATTAGATTCTGCGACTTTAGCCGGGGTTCCACAGGCGGGGTCACATTTGACAAGAGTCCCGCCCTGAACAAATCTACATGCTGACATTCACCCACATTCATAGCGCCACCTAGTGGCAAGAGGAAGTGAATTTTAACAAAGCAGCCCCGGTCGCATGTTTGACCGACATATACGAAATTTCTGTGGTACATCTACCATGTCCAGACGCACAGAAAAGTCTCTTGGACCGATGCCTTAAACTCAACAGGAAGTCGGCCATTTCTAATTTTACCGCCATTTTTGGATGATTTACTCATTACGTACTTTAACTAACTCCTCCTAGGGCTTTAGTCGGATCGCCTTCAAATTTCTGCTGTGCCTTCTAAAGGCATTGACGATGAAAAGTTGTGCTATCTGCGCGTTTTCGTCGATGGGCGTGTCCGTGGCGTCGATGATTCGCCATGAAACAGGAAGTTGTAGTAACTTGGCTGTAAATGCCCAGATCTGCACGAAATTTAACACATTTGACAAGAGTCCCGCCCTGATCAAATCTACATGCCGACATTCACCCACAGTCATAGCGCCACCTGCTGGCAACAGGAAGTGGCCTTTAACGAAGCAGTGTGGCAAATGCACAGCCGCACTGGCTGAGCTGCAGAAAATGAAACGCGGCCGCCTCAGACCCCGACGTGCTACAGGTGCGAGGGCCCGCCCATCGCTGCTTGCAGCTTTAATTTTTATAAGGGCCCGAGCACTAACAGTGCGAGGACCCTATTGAAACTGTTAGGGTTATTTTTAGGGCCCGAGCACTAACAGTGCGAGGACCCTATTGAAACTGTTAGGATTATTTTTTATTTTATTTTTTTTCTGCAAAGTAAGTGCCATTTTCGGGGCCGCAACATGCTCAAAAACTCACCAAATTTGGCACGCATGTCAGGACTGGTGAAAAATTTCGTATTTTGTGGGTTTCACAGATGGGCGGGGCAAAATGGCACGCTAGCGCCACCTAGAAAATTGGAAAAAATTAGCCCCTCGTCCACGTTCAACCTACGTGCACGAAATTTGGTGGGGACGTGTATCATATCAAGACGCACAAAAAAGCCTCAAGAACCCATACCCTAAACTCGACAGGAGGTCCGCCATTTTGAATTTGGCGGCCATTTTTGGACGATTTACAGACTCCGTACTTTAACGAACTCCTCCTAGGGATTTAGTCGGATCGACTTAAAATTTCTGCTGTGCCTTCTAAAGGCATTGACGATGTAAAGTTGTGCTATCTGCGCGTTTTCGTCGATGGGCGTGTCCGTGGCGTCGATGATTCGCCATGAAACAGGAAGTTGTAGTAACTTGGCTGTAAATGCCCAGATCTGCACGAAATTTTACACATTTGACAAGAGTCCCGCCCTGAACAAATCTACATGCCGACATTCACCCACAGTCATAGCGCCACCTGCTGGCAACAGGAAGTGGCCTTTAACGAAGCAGTGTGGCAAATGCACAGCCGCACTGGCTGAGCTGCAGAAAATGAAACGCGGCCGCCTCAGACCCCGACGTGCTACAGGTGCGAGGGCCCGCCCATCGCTGGTTGCAGCTTTAATTAGGGCCCGAGCACTAACAGTGCGAGGACCCTATTGAAACTGTTAGGATTATTATTTTTTTTTTTTTTTTTTTTTTTTTTTTCTTTTTTCTGCAAAGTAAGTGCCATTTTCGGGGCCGCAACATGCTCAAAAACTCACCAAATTTGGCACGCATGTCAGGACTGGTGAAAAATTTCGTATTTTGTGGGTTTCGCGGATGGGCGTGGCAAAATGGCTCCCTAGCGCCACCTAGAAAATTGGAAAAAATTAGCCCCTCGGCCACGTTCAACCTACAAACACGAAATTTGGTGGGGACGTGTATCATATCAAGACGCACAAAAAGGCCTCAAGAACCCATAGCCTAAACTCAACAGGAAGTCAGCCATTTTGAATTTGGCGCCCATTTTGGGACGATTTACACACTCAGTACTTTAACGAACTCCTCCTAGGGATTTAGTCGGATCGACTTCAAATTTCTGCTGTACCTTCTAAAGGCATTGACGATGTAAAGTTGTGCTATCTGCGCGTTTTCGTCGATGGGCGTGTCCGTGGCGTCGATGATTCGCCATGAAACAGGAAGTTGTAGTAACTTGGCTGTAAATGCCCAGATCTGCACGAAATTTTACACATTTGACAAGAGTCCCGCCCTGAACAAATCTACATGCCGACATTCACCCACAGTCATAGCGCCACCTGCTGGCAATAGGAATTGGCCTTTAACGAAGCAGCCCCCGCCGCTTGTTTGACCTACATGTACGAAATTTCTGTGGTACATCTACCATGACCAGACGCACAAAAAAGCCTCAAGAACCCATACCCTGAACTCGACAGGAAGTCCGACATTTTGAATTTGGCGACCGATTTGGGACGATTTACACACTCCGTACTTTAACAAACTCCTCCTAGGGATTTAGTCGGATCAACTTCAAATTTCTGTTGTACCTTCTAAAGGCATTGACGATGTAAAGTTGTGCTATCTGCGCGTTTTCGTCGATGGGCGTGTCCGTGGCGTCGATGATTCGCCATGAAACAGGAAGTTGTAGTAACTTGGCTGTAAATGCCCAGATCTGCACGAAATTTTACACATTTGACAAGAGTCCCGCCCTGAACAAATCTACATGCTGACATTCACCCACATTCATAGCGCCACCCAGTGGAAAGAAGAAATGACTTTTAACGAAGCAGCCCCCGTCGCATGTTTGACCGACATGTACGAAATTTCTGTGGTACATCTACCATGTCCAGACGCACAGAAAAGTCTCTTGGATTGATGCCCTAAACTCAACAGGAAGTCCGCCATTTCTAATTTTACCGCCATTTTTGGATGATTTACTCATTACGTACTTTAACTAACTCCTCCTAGGGATTTAGTCCGATCGACTTCACATTTCTGCTGTGCCTTCTAAAGGCATTGACGATGTAAAGTTGTGCTATCTGCGCGTTTTCGTCGATGGGCGTGTCCGTGGCGTCGATGATTCGCCATGAAACAGGAAGTTGTAGTAACTTGGCTGTAAATGCCCAGATCTGCACGAAATTTTACACATTTGACAAGAGTCCCGCCCTGAACAAATCTACATGCCCGCATTCACCCTAAGTCATAGCGCCACCTGCTGGCAACAGGAAGTGACCTTTAACGAAGCAGCGAACCAAATTCACAGTCGCACCAGCTGAGCCGCAGAATATGCAACGCGGTCGCCTCACACCCCAACGCGCTACAGGTGCGAGGGCCCGCCCATCGCTGCTTGCAGCTTTAATTAGGGCCCGAGCACTAACAGTGCGAGGACCCTATTGAAACTGTTAGGATTATTTTTTTTTTTTTTTTTTTTTTTTTCTTTTTTCTTTTTTCTTTTTTCTGCAAAGTAAGTGCCATTTTCGGGGCCGCAACATGCTCAAAAACTCACCAAATTTGGCACGCATGTCAGGACTGGTGAAAAATTTCGTATTTTGTGGGTTTCACAGATGGGCGGGGCAAAATGGCACGCTAGCGCCACCTAGAAAATTGGAAAAAATTAGCCCCTCGTCCACGTTCAACCTACATGCACGAAATCTGGTGGGGACGTGTATCATATCAAGACGCACAAAAAAGCCTCAAGAACCCATACCCTAAACTCGACAGGAGGTCCGCCATTTTGAATTTGGCGCCCATTTTTGGACGATTTACAGACTCCGTACTTTAACGAACTCCTCCTAGGGATTTAGTCGGATCGACTTAAAATTTCTGCTGTGCCTTCTAAAGGCATTGACGATGTAAAGTTGTGCTATCTGCGCGTTTTCGTCGATGGGCGTGTCCGTGGCGTCGAAGATTCGCCATGAAACAGGAAGTTGTAGTAACTTGGCTGTAAATGCCCAGATCTGCACGAAATTTTACACATTTGACAAGAGTCACGCCCTGAACAAATCTACATGCCGACATTCACCCACAGTCATAGCGCCACCTGCTGGCAACAGGAAGTGACCTTTAACGAAGCAGCCCCCGCCGCTTGTTTGACCGACATGTACGAAATTTCTGTGGTACATCTACCATGACCAGACGCACAAAAAAGCCTCAAGAACCCATAACCTAAACTCGACAGGAAGTCCGCCATTTTGAATTCGGCGACCGATTTGGGACGATTTACACACTCCGTACTTTAACGAACTCCTCCTAGGGATTTAGTCGGATCAACTTCAAATTTCTGCTGTACCTTCTAAAGGCATTGACGATGTAAAGTTGTGCTATCTGCGCGTTTTCGTCGATGGGCGTGTCCGTGGCGTCGATGATTCGCCATGAAACAGGAAGTTGTAGTAACTTGGCTGTAAATGCCCAGATCTGCACGAAATTTGACACATTTTACAAGAGTCCCGCCCTGAACAAATCTACATGCCGACATTCACACACAGTCATAGCGCCACCTGCTGGCAACAGGAAGTGACATTTAACGAAGCAGCCCCGCCGCTTGTTTGACCGACATGTACGAAATTTCTGTGGTACATCTACCATGACCATACGTACAAAAAAGCCTCAAGAACCATACCCTAAACTCGACAGGAAGTCAGCCATTTCTAATTTTACCGCCATTTTTGGATGATTTACTCATTACGTACTTTAACTAACTCCTCCTAGGGCTTTAGTCGGATCGCCTTCAAATTTCTGCTGTGCCTTCTAAAGGCATTGACGATGAAAAGTTGTGCTATCTGCGCGTTTTCGTCGATGGGCGTGTCCGTGGCGTCGATGATTCGCCATGAAACAGGAAGTTGTAGTAACTTGGCTGTAAATGCCCAGATCTGCACGAAATTTTACACATTTGACAAGAGTCCCGCCCTGAACAAATCTACATGCCGACATTCACCCACAGTCATAGCGCCACCTGCTGGCAACAGGAAGTGGCCTTTAACGAAGCAGTGTGGCAAATGCACAGCCACACTGGCTGAGCTGCAGAAAATGAAACGCGGCCGCCTCAGACCCCGACGTGCTACAGGTGCGAGGGCCCGCCCATCGCTGCTTGCA